ATATATATATATATATATATATATATATATATATATGTATATATATCAATAATTACAGGTTTTTTTTATTAAATTTGAACCAATATTATGCCTGTTAAAAATAATAGAAATTATATACTATAACTTCTTTATTTTATTATATTTGTTGTTCACAACACAAACAAACAATGAATATGATATGTTCAGGATATCATGATATGTGCGATATGTTATAGTAAATCATATAGGATTTCTATCAAATTTCTATAAATTTTTATTATTTTTTTATTAAATTTTTTATGCAGGATCTTTTCGATGTTGTGAGGAAACAGATGCTATGGCTCGAGTCCTCGCTCGAGCCGGTCCAGTCCTTTTCATTCTAAGAGAGAAAGGCATTCTTCCGCAAGGCTCACTCTATTTGACTGAAGAGATAGATAACTGCACGCGATGGGAAATTCCCACCACGATTATGTCTTCTATCTCGTCGTCCCTCTCACATACCAGATGTTCTTCTTCCCACTGCCATTATGTATGTTTAATACATCGAGAGTAGAGAGCCTTTAAGGGAGAAAGTGGCAAACTGCTCCTCCTCTAATTGGACGCGGTCATCAAAACTCCATAGACATGGAAGAGATTAGAAACAACTGGTCACGTGATGCCCGTCATGATTGGACGCGGTCAATATGTGCTCATATTGACCGCATCCAATCATGATGGAGATCATGTGACCAGTGAGCTCATTGAGCAGTCGTAGTACTGAATGCACCCATTAAAACTCTCACGTAATCAATTTGCTACTCTCTCCTTCTGAAGCTTTCTAACCTTAAAGTGTTCACCGCGTCTTACATAGGAGCAGCTCTCTCTCTAGCTAGCTGAGGAACGAATGTCCCTCCACATTCCCTTTCGGCTTTCTCTTTCCGCAGTAAAACTTACTGACAGAAAGAGGATATCGCTCTTCAGGCCTACTCACTTTCAAACATCGGACCAGAACCAGGAGCGAGAGATCTTATCCTACTTGTACTGTGACTAACAAGGAAAGACCAATTTTAATCAACTTTTTTGAGTGTGGTACACTTACCAAAACATGTGCTGCAGTAAAGCCTACTTGTTATTCAGCCATTCTCGAAAAAAGCGATAAAATATTTGTGAACAGAAATTTTGGTCAAGATAGGTTTGGTCTGATAAGAACCTAATAAGCGTGTCTTGATGTCTGATCAGGTGCTCATCAGGTAGTCTTAATTAGGTCATGACCGTAAATGTAATGTCAAGAATTAAAATTGTCTAATCATGGTTTCTTTATTTGGAACTGACGATTGCCTCTTATTACGCCTAATAACATTATAATTCCAAAAAAAATCAATATAAATCCAGTTTTATTATTAAAATAAATATTATTGATTAACATCATTTTTTTCCAAAATACATACGATAAATTATAATTAAAAAAACATTTCCCCATGAATGTGAGAATTAATTTTATGGTGCTACGAAACAATGCTACGAAATGGTTAACCATCCAAAAGCTGTATCACATTCAACATTGCTTGATCTTTACAATACGGAAACCGTACTTCGATGATCCACGAACACTGAATGTTAATGAACATATAGCTCTCATGTAGCTGGTCAATATAGTCCTATAGAAATTTGTGAAGTTTAACTGAACGTCCAGTCAGTCACTACTTATTATTTAATATTACTAATTTCTTTTGATATACAAAAATATTGTATAGCAACTGAGC